GCGCTACTAAAGAGACGTGTTACCATGGAAACCAAACAATGGTGTAGCTGTATTAAAGTCTGAGTGGAAACAGTCGTGTGTAAATCTGATTTTGTCAGACATCGGGAGAAATGCGGGAGAAATAAGACCCCGGGAGAGGGCAATGAAATCGGGAGTCTCCCGCGAAAATCGGGAGGGTTGACAAGTATGATTTATATAGCACCTTTCAAAGTGCTTTACAAAAATGAAAGACATTAAGAAAATGGCATTTAAAAACAGTCATTAAAAAGAAAAAATAATAAAAGAAACATTAAAAGAAAAAATAAATGAATACAAGTTACAGTGCAGTTAAAGATATTAATTTGAATATGTAGATTGAGCCGAATGTGAAGGAGATAGGAAAAGACGGATGAGAGAGGGAGACAGCAGCACTGACCCTGCACTCCTCGTCCAGCAGGTCGAACAGGCCCAGCTGCCCCTCGATCAGATTGATGCACAGCTGATTGTCACTGAACTCGATCCGGCTCCAGGCCAGCTCCTCCCGGATGTATTCCTCCTGCTCCAAGTGGAACACATGCTGCGGACGAACACACAATATAAATATAAAAATTACAAAAGATTGAGACAAAGTGAAAGAAATTGCAAAGGCTCTCGACAGAAAGTTAAAGGAGGCAGACGATCCTGAAGATATAAATATGGTCAACACAGTGAAGCTAGCTTTGCTTTGAAACACACGCAGAGAGACAGTATGTGCTTGTTTTGGGCTGATTCCCTGAGGAGTTTAACAAGAATGATTTTGCTGCTGGCATGTTCAAGAATAATGAGTCTACCTGCAAACACCAATACACATAGGGGGAGAAAGACATGTTTTCCTGTGAAGTGACTTACCCTGTTGAACTGCTGTTGCAGTTTTTCATTGGCATAATTTATACAGAACTGCTCAAAACTGTTCCGGTCAAAAGTCTCAAACCTGCACAGAGATCATCAGTTAGATTTGTAATAAAACCCTGAAGATATGACCAACAATGTTAAAAATAAAAGGACAGTTCAGTCTAAACTCAAAACCACAATTGTTTTCCTCTTTAATGTATTGTTATTTATCCATTTAGATCGTTTAGGTGATATCTTCTCTTGGATATAATGGAACTTCATGGCCCTTAACCTTTGGGGCTCAAAGCTACAAATAAAATACATTTGAAAAGCTCAAAAGCAATGTCTCTTTTCAGAAATCATGATGTGGTGCTTTTTCATGCTGGAACTATTTTCTGTCTACCCAACTCTACCTAGCAGAAGGATGAATGCATCTACTCGACAAGACAATTCGGCACCAAAACCATCTTCACAAATAGCACAACATGTAAGTGTTTTTGTGTAATAAGTCCACACACATTATACATATCCAGTGTCACAGAGCTCATCCCTCACCCATAGATGTCCAGCACCCCTATAAAGGACTTGGTTTGTCCCTTCTGGCTGCGCAGGGCGGAGTTGAGCCTCTGGACAGTCCATGTGAACAGCTGACCATAGATGTGTTTGGAGAGGGCATCTCTGGCTTCTAAGGACTGCTGACCGGACACCGGCTTCACCAGCATCTCCCCCCCCACAGCCAGCCTGCGGTGACA